GGGGGGGGGGCGCGGACCTGCTTGTCCTCGAGCTTGTCCCCCGCGTACGCAGAGATGATCGTCTCCTGCACCGACTGGCGAGCGCCTACATCTCCCCAGATCTCCTCATATCTCCCCATATCTCACCGACTGGCGGGCGCCTGACGGCTCCCGAGGCGGCGTCTTCAGACACGGGCGCTGAGAGGAGGGTGTGTCGGAGGGTGTTCTACCGGGCGCTGCGACGACGTGGCGGGAGGGCAGCGGCCCGTGCGCGCCGTGTAGCTCCCAGTGTGGACGCACGAGGCCCACATCTCCCCACATCTCCCCGTATCTCCCCGTATCTCCCCACATCTCCCCACATCTCCCCATATCTCCCCATATCTCCCCACATCTCCCAGTGTGGACGCTCGACACGCCGCATGCGACGGACACGTCTCGCACGCCAGTGTGCCCTCGCTTGGGGGCTTGGGGGGTGCTTGGATGTGGGATGTGTGAGCCGGAGACACAGACTAGGCGCGCGCCGGGGACCAGGGGAGAGAACTTCTCCTCGACCACCTCGTTGCGCACAATCTTGCGCGAGCGCCGCTTCCGCTTCAGCGTGTGCACCTGCGCCGTGCCGCGGGAGCAGTCACACAGTCACACATGGTTGTTAGACGCGGTGCTCACCTAGCACAGAGAAGAGAGCAGAGCCGCACAACATGAAGAGAAGGAGGACTGCGGGAGAAGGAGGACTGCGGCCGCCACGCCCGCGCCCCCAAGCAAGCTAGTCGGGGCGGTGTCACGGGGCGGTGTCACGGGGCAGTGTCACGGGGCGGTGTCCGGAGGAAGAGAGCACGGCACGCCGGGCGGCAGAGCACGTCCGGGAGGCAACATGGGCTGCATGCTCCTCCGCGGCGCCATGTCCGGGCTGGAGGCCTCCACGGCGGTGTGGGAACCCGCTCGGGCTGCAGCTCTAAGAGCAGGTGGCAGAGGGACGCTCCCTCCTCCACTACCGTGGGCTCAGCGGCGGAGAGGGGTGTGTGGAGGCGCGTGGCGCGGCGGCAGGTGCGCGCGACGCAGCAGTGGAGGCGCGTGGCGCGGTGGCGACGCGCGGGGGACAGAGCGCGGCCGGCGAGGCGAGAGGGAGAGGGAGAGGGACGGCACCGGCGCGAGGCGCATGCGGTCGCGCTCCGTCATGAGGGCGGACGGGTCGTCGGGCCGGACGAGCACGCCGGCGGGATCCTCCTCGTCCTCGCTCGCCGCCATCACTACTCGCCGCTGCAGCGCCGCCGCGTCCATCCGCCCTCGCGCGCCTGCGCTCGCGCCGTCCTCCGCCGCCGCCGCGCAGATGCTGGCATCGCCGCGGCGGCCGCGGCAATGTGGCGCGAGGAGGTAGCCGGCGATGGGCGCCCAGGCGGCTGCGCCTCCCACCCAAAAACCGGTGGCAAGGAAGAGCATGCGCTCCATGGAGCAGTAGAAACTGAGAGCTTGGAGAGCTTTCAGACAAACAACCGGGGGGGGGGGCGGCTCGAAAAAAAATCGCGGTGGATTCTCTGGTGGTCGACGGCGGTCAATCTAGTGACAAGGGAGAGAGCGACGAGAGTGGGACGGCCGCGAGGTGGCACGAAGGTTGAAGCGAGAATCGGAGAGAGACTGCGAAGAGAGATAGGAAGAGGCAGACTCCCTAGGGTAGGCGACGGCTAGCGCATCACACTCCTCAAGAGAAAGAAGAGAGAAATCTCTCTCTCACTCCTCTCCTTAAAATCCCTGTGTGGTGGCGGCGTGCCGTTCTCCCATCCCTCCCTTGGGTTGTCTGTTTTCTTTCTTTCTTTTTCGGCGGTCAATCTCACGATTGTCGATCAAAACCGGCGGGCTTTGTGACGCCGTTTACGCAATCGTTTTTTGGCTTCGCTTTCTCTTTGTATAAAATGAACTCGGGGGCACGGGACGCTTTCTCTTTTGCTTGTTTTTATTTTGTTTTTTCTTTTGCGAAGCGACGGAAGGGGGGGGGCGGGCGGGCGCTAACTATGGGCAACTACATGCCGGAGGTTCAACGACGACTACTCGCCGCCTGGGTCGTTTGGGGCGCGCGGCTCCGTCGAGGACCGGGCGCGCCCCTTACCCGGCGCGGCGTAGGTCCCACTCTGACGTATAGAGGGGAGGCACGCGCACGGACAAAACGGCCCAATTCATCAATTCCACTCATCTTCTGGTGCCTAGCCCCGTGCAGCGGCGGTCCGGCAGGCTGCCCCCAAGGCCCCCCGGGCCGCTGCGGGTTTTGGAGTTATGCTTTGGCACAGCTTCGGCGATGGCGGCCCCTCTCTGGGGCTTGCATAGGCGGGGAGTCTCCCCCGCTGGTCTCCTCATTCCCTTTTTTCTTTTTCTTTTGAGCTGGGTGTGTGCCGCCGCGCGGCGCTCGCGCGGCGGCGGTGTGTGGGGGGGGGGGGGGGGGGCTCGGGGGCCCCCGGCTGCCAGGGCAAAGGCAACGGCCATCGGCTCGTCGTTTGGAAACACCGGGGGGCTCGAAAAGAACCAGTCCCCGGAATTTTCACATCATTCAAACGCGGCCCAGGAGCGTCCTCGCGCCTCGCGCATTTGGCTGTGTGTTGCCGGCACCGGTGCCTCGGGAGGTCATTATCCGGAGGTGGCGCCCCTCCCTTTATTTTCGTGCCCAGCTCGAAAAGAAACGTTCTTTAGCAAAATCCTGCAAAGGTGGGGACGTGTCTGTCCTCGACCCAGCCCTAGCTTGGGATGTCCGTTGTATTTATTTATTTATGAAAAGAAACGTGATCGGCCACCTGCCCTGCATCGGCGACACGAAGATCTTTGCCGGTGTGCCGTCGGACCCCTCGGGGGTGGGGCGCATGGGGGCGTTCGTCGCTTGCGGCAACACGCTGCCACGCGCCCGCGAGACGGTTTTGGGCGTGGATGGAGGGCGGGGACAGGGCCCAGGGGCGGGAGGGTGGGACGGTGGGACCCGCGGACGGGGACCGGGACGGTTGAGGCTGTCAAGGGCCAGTACACCGACGCAGAGGGGAAGTGCCGCGTGGAGGCGCTGCTCTTCGAGGAGTTCGGCGCAATGAGCGCGGGGGTGGAGGAGCTGCTGATGCGGGTGGCTAAGGTGGCGGGCCGGAAGCTCACATGGTGGCAGTACGACCAGACGTCGTGGTCGGCGCGCGAATGGATGCCGTTTGCGCTGCAGCGACTGTCGGTGCAGCTCTGGATGGCGCTCGCGGACGAGGCACAGCGCGCCATTGGTGCGGCGTCACGCGGCCGCGAGGACCGCGGAGGAATGCTAGTGGGATGGGGGGCTCTGAGGGGAAGGGAGCGGGGGGCGCCCAGTAGGGCGCTGGGGCACCCCAGCGTAGAGGGCGTCGTGTAGCCCTCCTTTTGGTTAATATAAAAGACAGACGTGCCGCTCGATGCTGCGGGCGGCGTTGACGTTCGCAGCCAGTTCACGTATTTGGCCCCAGCTCTTCGGCTCGCTCCGCTCGCCGGTGAGTTGGTTGGTTGCTGGCAGCACCCCAGCACCTGGGGGTCCTCGCCGCGATTTTTTTTGCCTGCCCCTTCTTCGCCGTCGCGCGACGACCGCGCCGCTGTCAAAACTTCACCCTTTCTTTTTTCCGCCCTTCTCTTTATACTCTCTCTTATACCTGGACCTGGCTTTTATACCTGGATACCTGGCTTGATTCCTTCGGACCACTAAACCGCTCTACCTATCCCATCCATTACCGTGCCCCATGTTCACGTGCGGCCGTTTTACCAGGCGCCCAACCGACGGCCGCGCCGCGATTTTTTTTGCCTGCCCCTTCTTCGCCGTCGCGCGACGATCACGCCGGTGTCAAACTTCGCATTTTCTTTTTTTGTTCCTTCTCTTTTATACCTGGTAAAAAGACGGCTCGCTGGCAACCCGGCTTTGTCGCGGTGACACCCATATCCCAATGTGGCGTGTGAGCGTTCAATTCTCGCTCATCGCTCAAGTCACCGTCGCCGTCGCTTGGTCAGGAACAGCCAGAAACGGTCTGCCAACGGGCGATCCACAAAATGCATACGACCCGAGCATCGGGCGTCACTGCCGTGTGACGCTCGTACAGAAAGCTAGCAGGGCCGCTTGTATTTATGAGGAGTCGTTTGGCTGTGGGCTTTTGCGCGGGGAACCGGCTATTTGGGTCCGCAACTGTCGCGGCAGATTCCTATGCGACGGCCACAACAAGTCGGTACCTTGCGGCTACCCGCCAGGCCGTGACTCGTACACATGCGCGTGTGGCAGAACATCCGGGGTGCTCGCGGATCTCAGCTCATGGGAAAATGTGAGCAAGCTGGGCAGGGCCCACGATTTTCGTCTGCCGCAGTGGCGGGAATGCATGGGCGACTACCACAAGAATGCCTTCAAGCGGAAATGTCTGTCAAACGTCACGTGGAAAGACGGCCGGCTGGCCTGCGAAGGCCGCAAGGGCACAGCGGAGTTCATGGACGTACGTGGCAATCCCAGGCTGGAGAGCGTCCTCCTCTTTGGCTGCAGAGAGAAGAACCTCGCCCGGCCGCCTCCTCCAGGCACCGCAGCGCTCCCGCGTTCGCTGCTGGCGCGTGCTGCGCCGGCAGAGCGTGTGCCTCTACTCGATGACCTCATGGCGAAGCTCGGGGGCAACGGCACGGTGCGGGTCATGGCAGTTGGCATGTCTGTCACGTCGATGTTCGCGGGTCCTTCCCAGCACAGCCCTGCGGCACCGATAAAAGTCACCCCTCCTGGTGGCACTAACTGGCTGGCGCGGCTGGTGGCGACGCTGGCTATCGCGAATCCCAGCGTGACGATCAAGGCGGACACGCACGCATCGGGCGGCCTCTCTGCTTTGTCGCTTGCGCCGTGTCCTGCCGACGCAATTTGCTCCTCCACGCGGCTCGACCGGCAGTGCCCGGACCTGCTGGTCCTCGACTTTGCTCTAGGACTCGGCTTCCCATCAACTCTAAAATCTGTCGAGGTGCTGCTGCGATTTGCGACGGCCCGTGGCATCGCCTCTGTGCTGTTGGTGCTTCCCGACTGGTGCCACTTCTTGCCCCATATAAGAGCAATCGGCAAGGATGTGAGCCATCACGTAGCTTGTCAGCGTGCCCTCTATGCTCGCAACGAGACGCGCGCAGCGCTCGCGAGAGAACGGGGAGGAGATCCGCACACTCGGAAGATGGCTCCTCTCGCAGCTCATTACCGGCAAACAGCGATCAGCATGTTCGATGCGCTGCTGCCACTGGTTGGGCACCCCGACGCCATCGACCTCGTCGAGTTCACGCAGGATGGCATCCACCCCGCATACTGGCCAGAACTTTCCAACCGCGGCGCGATGTACAGCTTTGCGATCAGCGACGCGCTCGCATACGCCCTCGAGCCGAGGGCACTGCGCTTTCCACCTGGAGTGTGGGACGGCAGTGGAGTGCGGCTCGATGTTGAGCTGGGCGCGGCGCGGCGAGGCACGCGGCCAGAAGTGGGGATGAGCGCCACAGCAGCCGACACGCCAGCGTCGGGCCTGCCAGCCTGGTTGACCGATGGCATGCAGGGCCATCGAGGTGTGCGCTGCTACTCCGCCAAGCGGCTACAACAGTCGGTTCGGTCATTCAAAACGACGCCGGCGTGCAACGACGCGAGGGAGCTTGTCTCGGGCTGCGGCTGGCTCGCAACTACGGAGGAGTTTGTTTACGATTCGACGGTAGCGCGAGGGAGTTGGGGCCCATTGCCCAGAGATCCCGCGAAGCCTCCAAAGCCAGGCATAACCAGCCTCTCGATTGGCGATGCTGTGGAGATCACAATCGACACAACCCTGGCCAGCGAGGCAGAGCCGGCGCCGTCCGCTAACGATACCTTCTCCGGCGCTGCAGCGCTGAGCATCACGTTTTTGCAGTCGTACGAGCAAGTCGGCGTGCTGCAGATCACATGCCTGCGCGGCTGCGAGTGCACGCAGGTGACGGTCGACACGCGCCAGCCGGACGCGCACTTTGCGCTGCTGAACACGAGCGAGCTCTCGGTCTCGCAGGCGCGCGAGTGCCGCGTGCGCCTTCGAAACGTTTCGCCTGCCAGCCGTGCGCCGGGGGGCACAAAAATCAAGATCTCGCAGCTGGGGGTTAGCGTACCCCCGCAGAGTCAGACTGTCTGAGATCGCATATCATCATCATTCTCTCTTGCGACGGGGCAGGTTTATTTCCCGGATGCTCTCTTGGGCTTGACATTGTGGTTTTCAAAAAAAATTCTCTCTGTCTCTCTCTTCTCTCTCTGCGAGGACGGCTCGGCGAGGGGCTCACGGCGGGGTCGCACACGGCAGGGGTGACGGGGCCGCTGTGGAGCGATGTGGTCAGGGGGACGACGAAACACAAATGGGACAAGCGCCAGCGGATCAAGGATCAGCACGGCGAGCGCGAGATACAATTCGCCGACGTGGATGATCACAACGTGGTGACAAAGACCGTCATGGGAGCGCGTGTGCGGCAGCAGGCGGGGG